ACATGTGTTTACTGAGGTATTAATTATAAGCCAGAAAATGAGCCAGGTTTCAGGAACGCTGTGGAGTGGTAAACATGAAGCCTACGCCACAGAGGATATACACAGGCCCAGGGACACACCACTGAGGGAAAACGACTGTTTCTAGAAAATGTATGAATGAAGCAATAAAATTAACCTACACCAAACCTAGTCAGAGACAGAGCCCTTGTCTTGTTCCATTTTATATGCATCATAGAGACTGACATAATATCTTCTATGCAACCAATAATGAGGTCAACTACAGAGTAAAAATCAGAGTTGATGTCCTAAAAATTATTTTAGTATGCAATTCATGCTATTTGATTTTGAAATAATGATTATGAAACTCTCATCTATAAAGGTATAAATTCAAACAAGAACACTGTGATTTTTACTGAAATGTAGATGTGTTGCGTGTTTTATCTAGTGACATCATAGCCAGTTTGGTTTATGTAAGTGCATGCTACAGTGTTGCCACAGTGATGAAAGAACTTAACGATGCACATCTCACATTGTATTCACATCGCTAATAATGCATGATTGTATCACATCAAATCATAAACATATATTGTAAATAAGTGAATTTAAAATTAACTGTTGTTATATGAATTTCCGAGACCTAAGGAAAGGTACATAACATATCAGTTTACAGACTTCTCTCTGAAAATGAAATATAAAGGATGAAAAGCAGAATTTAAAAACACCATTCTCTCAGAAAAATAGTTGGAATCCACACATGCAGTATCTATTTGTAAGACTATATTTCCGACGGAAAATATTTTTGACTAGTTGTGTTCTCTCAAATTTTATTCATCTCAAGCCTTAGTTTATCGTTCAATTTTAAAATGAAGTTTTGAAGGATGTAGAACTCTTGCTTTCATGGTCTTTTTCTGTTATTTTGAATACATCATTTCACACTTTCTGGTTTGAATTATTTCTAACAAAAAATCAGCTGTGACAATATTGAGGGTTTACTGTATGGGATGGTAAATTCCCTCTTCTTTCTTTCAAGATTCTTTCTTTGGCTTTTGACAATCCTGATTTATCTCATTCTGCACCTCTGAGTTTATGCTACTTAAATTCATTGAGTTTCTTGAATATGGTATTAATTTTTTATCAAATTTAGGGAGTTTACATCCATCAGTTCTTAAAATAGTTGTTCAGAACCTCTCCGCCCTCTCTTTGCTCACTGTGTCTATACTGTCCCTAAGTGTCTGCATTTCTGTTTATTTCTCTCTACTATTTTTCCTTTTGGTTTTTCAGATTGAATGATCTCCATTTTCCTATATTCAAATTTGCTATTTCTTCTGCTCGCTCAAGTCTGGTGTTACTATTTCACAGTGAATTTTTCATTTCGGTTTTTATTCTTTTCAACTCAAAATTTTATTTCCTTTATGAATGATTTCTATTTCTTTGCTGACTTTTTTAATTACATGAGACATTCTTCTTATAGTTTTTTTAATTGTTTAGACAAATTTTCTCTTTCTTCAACTAACATTTTAAATTTCTAACCTAGGCCTTCATCTAGCAAGACAAACATGTGAGAATCCTTAATACCATTTCTACTGATCGATTTCTGTCCAATACAGTGGTAATAATTTTTGTTTCTTTGTATTGCTCATAGATTTTTGTTGCAAACAGGATGTATTAAATACAATATGGCAATTCTACAACTTATATTGTCCCTACACTCTAGCATTTGTCATTACTTTTTTTAATGACTTCAAAACTAATTCTATAAGCTACTCTTCACCATCTGTAGCCATCAAAGTTATTATTTGGCGAACTCAATAGCAGGTTAACATTTGGTCAGGGGTGTGTGTGTGTGTGTGTGTGTGTGTGCGCGTGCATTTACTGGGGACTAAAATCAGGGTCTTTTGCATGCTTGGCAAGCATTTTACCACTATATTTCATCTGCAGTTCAGGACAGATTAAAACAAAAACAAAAGCAAAAAAAAAAAAAAAAAAAAAAACCTTAAATTGATTAGTTGTGTGTGTATGTTGGGGTACTCCTTCCATTCTGCAAGTAATTACAGACTCTGCTGGAACCATTACATTCTGCTTGTGCAGAGCCACAAGGCCCTTCCAAAGGTGGAAACCTAACTTCTCAAGCCTTTCGGGTCATACATACACTGAGGTGTGCCCAGCCTCTTAGGTGCCCATTAACACAGTGGAGCACTGTAAAGCCCCATGGACAATTCATTTTTGAGATTTTCCTTCTATGACTTTTGAGGAGGGAAAAAAAAACTCTTGAAAGTTCTTACTTCTCAATTCTTGTTCATATCATTCTGAAGATCTACTTTTCACATAGGATTCTGTTGCTTTTCTAATCATAAATGGCAAAACCTAGCCCAAATATGTTAAAAGTTTATATATCTTACTACAAATGTATACATTTGAACATTCATTTTTTTGCCTATGAATAGGAAACTTTTTTCCTTCCCCTTTTATTTGAATTATATTTTCCAAAATGCGGTGCTCAAATTCCATACATTTTCCCCCTGTTTAAACAAATGAACATTTCCTAAACTCTAAATTAATTTCTGCTTCTTCAATATTAATATCAGCTAAGCCAAAGAAATCATAGCACATTAAAATTATGAGTCTTTAAAAAGATACATGGTGTTTAAAAATGTGGAAAAATATAGCACTGTATCAGCAATTGAAAGACAAAAAGAATACATGGAACTGTTTGGAAAGATGTCAACTTTTATATGTAGAGGGTTTGTTTTTATAATGAAATCATTTTCAAAACTGAGCAAATCTCGCAAAATTTATAGTTTCAAGAACAACTACAATACTTCACACACACTCTCTTAGGAACAGTTTGTTACAATAACCCTTTGAATTACTTCCAAGTGGAAACATGGGAAAAATATAAAAGTAAATTCAAAGAGAATATCATACATATTCTCAGAATTTTAGAAAACTAACTTCAATACCATGTCAGATATCTTCTGAGAAAGGGCATTTTAAATTCTTAATTCAGTAAAGCAGTCTTGGTTTGTAAAAAGTTGAGGTATATAAAATTCATACACGGATTCCCACAGGTCAGAATTAGCAAGCAATCCATCTCCATATGGGTTGTAATAGAGAAAAAATGATAGAATACATAGAGGGAGAAGTAAGGGAAGCTGGACGATTCTAAAAGTTAAAAAAGACCAGACTAAGAATTACAGCCCAAAACGGAGACTGACCGTGTATGAATCACGCCATTTTTTGTCATACTCTTATGGCTCTCTTCTCTTAACTCTATACTAACAATAAATTTCAATGTTGTAATTCTAAATGCAATCATCATTTTTCATGGTTGTAGTTCTGGGATCAAACCCATGACCTAGTGCATGCTCAGGAAGCACTCTACAACTGAGCTACATCACTGGGTCACAATCGTCATTGTAACAGTGGGAAAAAAAACTCCAAATTAGTGAAATATAACAGAGCACATTGATTAAGACAGTCATATGTAATTGTACATTAGAAAATTTAAACAATAATTTTCTTAATAACAGATTAATACATCTGGTTTTCTCTCAATTTGAAAATAAAGTAAAACATTCGGCTAGATTTTTATAAATACATTTCTTATAATTTTTTATTACTTAAACTTAGATTATTTTCCGAGGTGAAATGTTCCATAGCAAAATATTTTGCCACAAATTACTGCCCAAATTAAATACAAGTATATAGTACTTAAAATAATTTTAAGTGTTTAAGACATATTTTAAATGAAGGATCAAAAATGTTTGTGACAAAGTCAATCTATACAAACGTGAGTAGTTTTAGATTAAAAATTAGAAAATAATAAAATACAAAATTATTTGTTAATCTCTCAAAGTTAATTATTAACATAGTTATATAGTTGATATTGATTTGATGTTTCAGTATAATATGATTGTATATCCTATTTTACTTCTCATTTTCTGTCCGATAATATGGTTCTATGCTTAAGTGCGAACTTAATGAAGTACATTTTTATATAATCTACATAACAAAGTTGTCAGTATTATAAATACTTTCAGATATACAGTTTTTATATACATCTAATTTTCTACCCAAAGGATTCTGGCTTTAATGTACACCAATAAGATAATTTGCTAAAAACAATATTAATTATAAAACTCTTGCAATGTAACCAACTTTTCTGAAAAGTTTTCAGTGAAGAAAAATTAAAAAATAGGCATCTGGGGGTGATAAGCGTTGTGGAACCAGGGGAGCTGGAGAAATAAGGACAGAGTGCTGTGTAGTCTGTTCCAGAGGCCAAAGAGAAGTATAATTATTGTGCATCGCACACATATGCCATTAAACAAAACGAAACTACAAAAAAGAATTGGAAAACATCATCTGAATGGTGACTAAATTGGAATTTTAAGAAATTTTTAATCTTGACAAGACTTAAATGGATTTCTCATGACATCTTCCTGCCTTAATTCTGTAATTGAAATGAGGTAATGAATTGGTCACAGCTTTGCATCAGCACTCATCACAGCTACTAAATTCCATTTCTCATACAATATAAAACTGTCAGTTGGGCATGGCTGCACAAGCCTGTAATCCCAGCACTCAGGAGGCCGAAGCAGGACAATCACTGAGACCGGCCTAAACTGCATAGCAAGACCCTGTCTCAAAAAAGCAATATAAAACTGTCACAAAGGCAAAGAAACAGAAAATAAATATTCTATTAATGAACATAAACTCTTACAAGTTTGTTGACTGTTTAATCTGAAAACTTTCTGAATGTTGAGGGAAATATTACATCATTTTGAGGACTAATACTTACAGAAGCATGTAATATTATGTTAATCGGTCTTTGACAACCTTTCCCTGTTGCTACCTTTTCCCCATGGAAGTAATGTGAGGCCCCTTCACTCATGTGCCTGACTTCCTTTAACCATGTCCTGTTAATCTTCAATCCCAAGTACCTTTAGCATAATACATATGTAAGAAACTTGAACTTCAGGGAAAATTTCATAGCAACTTACCCCATTTTTTGGAAAGGCAATCCATCCCAGGTCCCCCATGACAGTGCGTGAATCCAACAAATTCACTGAAAGAAAAATAATAAAAAATTGAGTAAAATGTGTAACAACATTTACAATTTTGATAATGCATACTATTTATATAGCTGAAGTTATTTTAAAATTTTCTTATGATGAATACAAGAAGCAAAATGTGTAGGAAACAGGATAAAAGAAAACAAGTGATTTTACATAAACACTTGGAGAAAAAAAAAAACATAAATATCCCAAATAATTTCTTACTAAATTAGGGTCAGAAAAAGAGTAAATAGTAAGAAAAAGGAAAAATGAAAGAAAGGTTGATGGAAAGAGTCGTATGCAGACTTTCTAGAAGCCATTAAGTTTTGAATTAGACTGCAGCCATTAAATTGTAGATAACGTATTTTTTTTCCTTTCTGGAAAGCTGTTTAAAGCAATTAACAAATAATTTACATTAAACAGCAATAAACTATTCCCAAGCCTGTGACATTTTTGTGATATCAGCCAAAATCTGTAACCCAAATTGCAAGTTTAATTAATAAATAAGTCCCTACATCCTTAACCAAGACAAGAAAACCGTCTGCCGCAGCTCTTCAGGTTGTTACTACAGCTAACAGTCCATTGCGTTTCCCAGGACGGCTTCCACTTATATACACTCAAAATGCAAAATGTGCTTCACATAAAGCTATCAGACACATTATGTCTGGAAAGTCTAAGATATTTGGAAATTTCAAGATGGAAATCTGAATATCATTACAAAGAAGCTACAGATGAGTAATACACACAAACATATACACACATATCCAGGTGTTCAATAATCTCCCCAAGAAATTAGAGTGGTTTAAATGGCAGGGTCTAATCAAATTCTAATCAAATGTTTACGTCTGGATCGCAGGTTATTATGTGTCTTAACTATTACTTCTCATCTGCATGGATCTAACTGACCCACTCACTGTACAAGTGAACCACTCAGAACATGACATACAAACCCAAAAGAAAAAGCTGGGTTATGACTAGGAAGAAGTATTGGAGCATGTTTTACTATATATTTAAGTACTCATATTTAAAATGCAAAATATTCTAAAAGCGTGATTCTGTATGGAAGTGTTAAGCCTATAAAACAAGAGAACAGCAATTCATAGACTAAGAAATTATTTTCATGCTCTGTAGTAGAACATACAATATAAAGAGTTATGATTTAGACAATGAGGACCACGATTGAAATTAAAATTGGTACATTATAAAAATTACATGCATTTAACTCTCAATATCCATTCTTTTATTTTACAGTAGCACAAATTACTGAGACAGAAGTACATACAGTACATATCTGACAAACTAATATATCCTATTACAAAAAATAAATCAATAATTTAAAGTTAGAGAAAACACTGAAATATGCTAATTATCACACATTATTATTGCAAAATGTGTCTGTTTATTTTTCTCATTAACTCTATACTCGTTAAGTATCAAAGGCATCCCATATAATATCTGTGTCATCTGTAGTATACTCTAATCTTATTGGCTTCATAGAATAATAAATCTGCAGAACTGTTATTTGGAACAAAGTGAAAAATTGTCAAAAAACGACTTTAAAACAAACAAACAAAAAACCCTGAACTGTTTTATTACCAACGGATCTTCTTTCCTGATAGACATGCTATTACACCTAATTTTTCTCCTTTCTTTTCTATGCAATTCCCAGGTTCCCCCAGAATAAGGCTACATTAAACACAAATGTCCTTGTCCTCGTTTTAGTTTTTCTAGGACACTGGGGTTATGTCTAGACATGACTAAATGCCAAGGGAGTACAGAACCTAAATTGTTATGTTTATTCATTTTAATGATTCACTTGGCTCACCGTTCATATTGAGTAACAAGTGTATCTGTGTAAATTAGATAAAGCAGAGCAAATTAGAAAATGAAGGGTGCTTCTGCCGTAGCACATAGAAGTCAATCTCGTGTGGTGGCCAATGATGTGCACAGGAATTCTAGGAATTCATAACCAGACTGCCTGGAGAAACAGAACTCTTTGTAGGTCTCACAAAATGTGGATTTGAAGTATTCATTTTATCAACAGAATTTCAAGTGTTTCAAAATCTAGTTGTTCTCACTTTAATATGTATTATTACTTTCTTTCTTTTCTTTTCTTTTCTTTTCTTTTTTTTTTTTTTAATTGAAAATGTGGAAGCAAATGTAAAACTTCAAAACATGACCTTGACTGTTAACAGAACTAACTGGAAGTTTTTACTACTAAATACATGAAAACAACTAGAATTGGAATCTATATAATCTTGTGATTTTGTCAAAATGATTTCTTCAGATAAACAGAAGAGGAGGTTTGTAGGAAATACATGCATATCATGATATATACTACTGTATAATCTGAGTTTCCTCCTGGAAACAAATGACTTCACAAAATTCACAGTGCCAAGAAGATATCCACATGCAATTATTGAACTACGAGCTAAGAAAAGAGTAAAATAAGGTGTTTTGGGCAATTATTTGATTTGCTCATATAGTACAAATCTGGACTAGTTCCTCAGATGCCCCAGAGAAAATAGGTAAAGTTTATTATATATTGTTTCGACAAAAATATATTAAAGTAAAAGACACACTTCCATCAATCACCCTCAAAATACTCGAAACACAAAAGACTCCTCACTTTCAAATACACCCACTACATAGTCTTTGGCAATACGTATTACTAAGTTTTGCTTCTTTATTTTTGAAGAAACCATGGCAAATCCTCCTTTTCCTAAATCTGAGCAGGGTATTTTCATTGAATGCCACATTAGTAGCCAAATTGTTATTTCTAGAAAACTAGAAGCATGTCATTTTCTTAAAAGAACATCATATGTGACTCATGCACCTAGCCTACCTGAAGCAGCTGAAACGCTGTTGGTCTAGTAAGTGAATCATCTAGCAAGTGGGCAAATCCAAGGCTGTGAATGAATCGATACACACCAGTGCTTCTCACTCAGCACGGGCATCTGACAAGGTCTGGAGACATCTTTGATTAGGAAAACTTTGGGGGTGCAGGGAGGATAGTATTTGCTACTGCCACTGAATAGGAGGAAGTCAGTGGGGCATGAGGCTAAACATTCCACAGGGCATGGCAAACGTCCCGAGGAGCCAATTTCCAAGTCCCCAGGAGCTAGTTCCAACAGTCAAGAAGCCCTGTTACACACTCACTGATGCTACTAAAATACCTGTCTCCACATTTCTTTGTAGAGTACATCGTTAGGATGATTTTCATTAACAGAAGCTGCATATTTTGGAGGTATTCTTTATGAACCAAAATAATGCTCTTATTTAAGGAAATAAAATAATCTTATTTTCATGTGGATAATAAAAATAATGTATTTTAATGACCCAATTCTCCTAAATTATTTTTCACAGAATGTCTATAATTATTAGAGGCGTGTATATTTATGCTTTGACAATATCTCAACGTTCATAATGGTATACGTAAAAAATATTCTGACATTATTAATACCTCTCTTTTTCCTTCTAGTTATATAAAAAATAGAAACATTAAAAAAAATAATAGGTTAAACACAGCAGTAGAGACAGGGTATATATGTGAATTTCCAGAAATTTATTTCCCAGTTGTATTTCTGAATTTATTAAAAGAGTGAAATGGCAGTAATACAGAACAATCACTAAGTGTTTTCTGTGCTATGATTACAATAATTAAATTGTTCTGAGCAGTATATATGCATGTTGCAAATTGCAATGAATACGCAATGCCTATTGATCTTCATTGTACAACTTAATTAAAACTTGTCCGGGAGAAGCCACTAATGAATATAATTAGAGGAAATGTTTGATACCACAGTTACTCTGGAAGACATTAATTAGATATCTGAAATTTTATTTAAAATGTTTTTATTCTATTATTTATACTTTAAAATGTAGCAACACAATTAAACTAAGACAGCCTTCGAAGTCATTGTCCCTCAGCTGTCAACCATTTAATTATGACCTTCATACAACCAATACGAAGATGGTCATATTACTAGGTATTTTAACCTATAGTTTTAATAAAGTGGATTCTCTAGGAAAAATAACTCTAAAACAGGTCAATGAGTATGTACTCAAAGGTAAGTACTTATGGTTACTATAAATGGGAAAAATTCACTAATACAGAAGTTTAATAAGTAAATGCTGGTTAACTATTGGCCCAAACAAACAACAGACTGTCACAGAGACTAGTTCTGCATAAGTATGCTATAATTTTATTATTACACATTATTAATTTTAATGCTCTTTTCTTGAAAGAAGTTACTTTTAGAAAACAGAAGGTTTCTTAAGTCAAAAAAAAAAAAAGAATGGACAAATGAGTGAAATGCAGTATGAACAGGAAGATTAAATCCTTAACTTCATATAATATAATACTTATGGATTAATTACAGTTAGTGAAGCTAATATGATCTTCATAATTGTAATCAATCATTCATAACTTGCAATATGTCACTTTGTCTATTGTCTTTTTCATAACATCTTGCTAAAATGAGTTATTAAGAACAGGAAATTTTATTGAGTTTCCCAGGAAAGAGACATGTTACCTGATTTCTTTTTTTTTTTTTTTTTTTTTTTTTTTTTTTTTTTTGTCTTTTTCGTTTTTATCGGTACCAGGGATCGAACTCACGACTGCCTGCTTGCAAGGCAGGCGCTTATGCCGCTGAGCTAAATCCCCAGCCCCTGTTACCTGATTTCTTAAAGAGTGGGAGACAGACCAGGGATATCTGGTCTCATCTGAGTGGACCAAGCTTGGAGAGAAAGCATAAATCTTAAGCTATGCAGAAGCATAAAAATGCCAGAAAGCATCATTTTTCAAATTGTTTATGTTTCTTCCATGTTTCTTCCACAGTTAAGGTGGCAATTAAAGATTACCACCAAATAAGGATGAAATAATTTGGATTAATAATAGGATGGAACTCATATTCTCCAAAGATGTGGAATCAAAATTCCATTGCATAAAAGAAACTTTTGAGAGAAGCTTTTTAAAGTTTCTTCTTAACAGTAGCAAAAAAAAAAAAGC